TCAAGCCATTGGTTGAGCCAAAGTTGCTGTGCCAAGCTGTCTGGGGAAGTGTGAAATGTTTTGGGAGAATCAGCCGCTGAATATTTAGTTGTCTCTGTGTATTAAACTGGTATAGAAAAAAGTATGTGTGTGTGTGTATCAGCCCTCCATGTCAACAATGTTTCAGACTCATTCAGGAGTTTGTGCACGTCTGGTGTGGAGATTACACTCATGCCGCTGGACCGCTGAGGTTAATCGCTCTTCAGACCTGCTTCCTGCTCACTTTCTCTAATCTAATGGGATTAACTGTCATTTAACATCCAACACTGCAGCAATTACACCCACCGAAAAGAAGAGACTTCACAAGACTCCATTATGCATGAAACGGCTGAATGTTTTTAACAGCACTTCAATTATTGTGTAAAAATGTCAATGGTCTCTCTGGTTTGTGCTGTTCTCTTTTTACAGAGCGCCCAAATCTTTCACTCACTCCCTGATTTTCTTTGTCCAATGAATGCACAATGAGGATCTGCCTGATTAGGTGTCAAATAGGCCTAACTGACTGGCAGATAAACACACTCATTTGACTGCATTAATTTGTTGCAAATCAAGATTTTGGATTTGAAAGGTTGGCAGCATGCTGTTGGATAACTGCAGTTGCACTTTATTGTCCTGTAAAGCAGTTGGGTGTTTCTTAATCAGAGTTTACACGCTAACAGCTTCCATTCTTTGCCCTTTAGTCTGTCTTTCACAGTAGAATCACAGTTTTTATTCCTAGTATTTTATTCGTAGGCAAATCATAGACTGAAAGAAGGAGCAACAAGACCCATGTAGCAAGAAAGAACTATTTACCATTTACTACAACAAAAATGTATACTATTATAGTATTTATTATTATTCTGAAATAACTTCTTATATTTTCATTTTAGTTTAGAATTTAGTAATTTTGTAACATGCTTTTATCATAATTTTTATTAGTTCTTATTTTTTTTATTTCAGCTTAAATTTTTGTAAATTTAGTAGTTCAACTTAAAAGTATTTTAGTTTTTAAGGTTTAAGTTTATCTAATATTTATATTTCATTTTATTAAAAAAAAATATTTTTTATTTAATAGTTTATCACAAATTTATGCCGCAGACCTCTTTGTTCTGTACTGTTTGCATTTGTATGTAGCATTAGCATCTAGCTAAAAGCATTACCTTTGTAATCACTGGGCCTCAAACATGAAATATGAAGTTAACAAATTAGTTTAAACTGAATTGAATTGAGTGCAACAGTTTGTGCAGGAGTGCTTTGATGAGCAGTTAGAACAGATTCATTTTGCTCAGGTTTTATGCAGGAGTGGCATCATTATTTTTTAGGTTCACACACTGTTACTGTTACCGAAAAAGAACTGTTACTGGAAAAGTCGAAAGAGAACCGTTACAAAGTGCTTTTCAATGAGCTTTTAGTCAGTATTAGCTCAAGCAATTCACAAATGCCTGAAAGTCTACCAGAAAAACCATCCAGGCACCTTTGCCATACTATATTTAGTGCTCTATGAATCCTAATCTCATATTCAGTACAGTTAGACTGAATTAGGATGCAGCTCTGGTGCTTTCTCTCAGTAGCTTACACCGCAGTCAGCATACTGTTACCCGGTGGTGCGGTTATGTTCGCGAGCAGTCGCAGTGATTAAAACACATGGCTGCTTCTCTTTATCACCCCTGCTGCATGTGTAATGCGAGTCTTATACATATCATACAAGCTCCGCTTGTGTGATAGAGCCATTTGTGCTGTCGTCCAGTCTGTACAGTATTTCTCCATGGCACATTGCATCTCCACTGCAGCCTGTTCTGCACATTTGCATTTAAATTAAATTCAATCTCCTCTGCTTTTTACCGTCATGCAGTAAGGCAGTACTGAACCTTACACACTCAGCATCCTCTTTGTTAATTTCCTCCTGTTTTCTCTCCTTTTGTTTGTCCGATTCCTACTGCAATGGCATGCAAGCTGGAATATAAATAGCTTATATTAACTTCTACATTTCTGTATTCAGATTTAAAGAACTATTGATGCATGGCTGCAAGAATGACACGAGCATTATTAAGTTTGCAAGCCTCAATCTGATTGGCTGGCTTTACTGCTGGCTTTACTTAGTCTTTACACGGGCTGCTAATTATTGCATCCAATGAAGATCTAGGTTTTCTAGTCAAAATGCTTGCAAGGTTTATGCAATCAAAGGTCTGTTGACACTACTACGTCGTTATTTAAATAATTTTAAAATAAATAATTATTTGCATGTTATGGCTGTTATTAAAATTCACTACCATTTTTTAAAATACATAAATACTAAATTTAAATGCTACAAGTAAATGTATGCATCACATTATAATATACCATATGAAAAATAGATATTCATTTTGAGATTTGCTAAAGATTAAATTTAACAGTATTATTAAATTATTAGTGTTAACGTTGATGATGGCAAAGGTAATGTAAATATATGGAAAATGAGCATTTACAATTAAATATATAGTATCTGCCAGTACGATTTAAAAAAAAAATCACATATTCACATATAATCAATATGGTACAGACTACATTATTAAATTTTAGTTTTATGCATTTCAGACTAAATACAAATGAATATGTGTATTAAATGGGGTTGAAAAGACTGAGATATATATATATTTTTTAAAAAATTGTAGAACTTTTAGATGTCTATATCAGTCAACCCTACCAAGAACTGAGCAGGAATAATTCTTGGCCAGAATAACCTACGAAGTGGACCAGACTTTGTCAATAGTCAAAAACACAAGTCTGACTACTTCAGACAAGCATAGCTGTGTCCTTGTGTGTTTGTGTACTTTATTTCTCATGTGAAACCTCCAGGCACATTGAAATCACGTTTTATGTGGTTTAAACTCCCAAACTGGCAAATTATCTCAAGCAGACTGTCTCATTTCAGCAAGCACACATCCTGCTGTAGTCCTGAAGGGTTTTCCGTCCAGTTCCAGTCTCTGTTGCCCTAACCACCTGTCCAGATTTGGCCGGCGTGGGCCTGAGGGAGAGCGGCTGCTGGCTGCTTCAGATTGGCTTGTTTGTGGCATCTCCAGAGGGTTTAAACAGGGTTAATGAGCCTCTGGTGCACACAATCCTAAACCTCCTTACACAAATTGATTTTAGACATGAGAGGCTTTAAAGACAAACACGGGGGATCATTAACCTAAAGCGTTAAAATGTGTGGCTCCTGTAAGTAGTTCTACCCATGAAGATGGAGGTATTTTAGCCAGTATGAACAATAGTTTAGCCTGCAGACATTTGTTTTTCCTTTCTTGGAATGGATTTGGTACTGAGGGAAGTGAAGATGTTCGCAGTGGGCAACTGTATTAAACTAAAATCTAAATATTGGTAATATTCTTTCACGCACGTTAACACCAGAATTTTTTTTATAAATTACATATTATAATATATAATAATTAAAGTATATAATTCAATGCATATTTTTCTATCCCATCTGCTCTGAAATATTCAGTTGGCTAAATAAATTTCTTGTAAAAAGTAAGACTTGCTCGAAGGATATCTACATTTCAAAAGCCTCTTTTTTTTGTGCATTTTTGGGTGTTTTTTCCACCAATGAATCATTCAAAAACACACAAACCAGTCGATTCATTTTGCAAATTAATGGGAAAACTAGTGTCACAATTATTGTCAAAAATCCTTATCCAGTAGTCATAAACTGGGAAGGTCATGGAAGAGTCATGGACATGGACAATCATGGTAGCTCTGCTCCTTTATCTGCAGGTCATAATCTCAGCATTGGATTGTCAGTTCCGGACACTGTGTCGTAATCGAAAACCATGATTTGTGCTGAAAGGAAATATCCTCCCATTGATTTGATTTTCTAGGATAAAATAGTGGTGATCATTTTATATGAAGCTAGAGAAAATTGTTGCTATAGGGACAGAAATGAGGCGGCCAATGAGAAGCTACCATGTGTGTTGTGACTAAAGCAGCTTTTTAACATGCATTTGATGCCTCTGTGCAACCTGGTTTACAGTAATGGCTCAACTGAGTGACAGAACACTGTTCATTAACTGGGTGGAGTAATTCCCTGTTCGTCGAGGTTGCGGTATTTATGTGTGTCTGTGTGTGTGTGTGTGTGTGTGTGAGAGAGAGAGAGAGAGAGAAAATGGGGCAGACTGAAAAAGTAGGAGTCTTAGAGACATTATTGATCTTTGTGTGTTTGTGGTCTCTTTCTGTGTGTGTGTTCTTTAAGTTTCATCAGATTGACCGGGATTCTTTAGTGACCATCCTTTACTATTATTACACCCCTAATGCACTTCAGACAGTAAAACAAAAGCTCCTGAGGACAAAAACTTTGTAGTTGTATAGAACCGACACAAAGTGAATATAAAACGCTGTCTGTGTGGTTTTAGCACCCGATTCACTGACGGAAGTATGGAAAGAAGGCATGTTTACACTGAATAAAATGTAATTATTGGATTGAAATATGGCACAGTGAATTCTATTTCAGAGAATTTTAGAACATGGTTACTATATATAAGTTAGCAGTTCACAAATTCATTGCACACCAAACGTGAGTTAGCATGATCCAGTATGTGCTGGAGCAAGTTACATTTTATTAAAATTTATTAAAACATGTATGGACTTATTGAAGTTCATGAAAACATTCATTCATTCATCCATTGCATTTTATTTTACTTCTGTTATTATTATTACTACGTGCTGGAACAAATTACATTTTATTAAAATTTATGACAAAATGTTTTATATTTTATTTTAATTTAGAATACCATCCACAGATAAAACCAGGAAGTTTCATTAACAAGCAAGTTCATTTTGATTTCGTGTTGGCTTGAAACCTGAAGGTGGTGATAAGAATGAGTTTTTCGCGCTGCAATACTCTGCACAAAAGTGACAAAACTGTTTAGTGAATTTGCCCCAAATTTCAGAGGACTAAACTCACAGGAATAAATACACAGCACTCACTTTTCCCGTCTCTTTCTCTCTTTAAGGTTCTTAAGATTAATTTGATCGGCCACAGGAAAAGAATACTAGCGTCACTTGGAGATCGACTGCACGAAGACCCTCCACAGAAACCACCACGGGCCATCTCTCTAAGGGTGAGTCCAGATCTTCCTCTTTCTCCAACAAAAACTCCCCTCACATTATGTCTGTTATGTTGTCAGTCACCTAGCAACGATAAATGTAATGTTCATCCTAAATGTCACTCATTATGCTGTATGCAGTATTTTATGTTTAGACAGAGAAATGTTTTTAAGAAAACAGAAAATGTCATTTTCTGTGCAATTTAGTCTTATCTTGAGAGCGATGGCATTCTTATGCCCTGAGCCGCTCCAGGGATTTAACTTGATCTTCCAGGCTGGATCAGACAGCTGCTCTCAAACTCTTTTCCAGGAGTCAAATCGATACCAAAGCCAGTCCAGAGCAACAGAAATCAGAGTTCCTTTGGGCCACAGCTTATATTCCTTCTTAATCAAAGGACGAGGACTGTCTGATGTAGAAACAGTGGGCCGTATGACTAAAAAATGAATTCAAACACAAAGCAAAAACAGGCACACAGCTAGACCTCCAATAAGAAAATCCCTAGAGAAAGCTATCCGTTAGCATTCCCATTCATCTCAAAGGCAGTTGCCACCCAAAACCTTTTCTTCATCGCCCTCCCGCAGGAGCCCACGGGGAACCACACTCCACCTCAGCTGTCCCCTTCTCTGAGTCAGGCCTATCCCAACGCCGGCTCCCTGGACGTCCAGCACCTCATCATGCAGGCCGACGCCAGACGCAGACGCAACAACAACTACTTCGAGGATGTGCCGCGTTCCAAACTAGAGAGACAGATGGCACAAGTCAGTATGGTGAGTTAGTGCACTTCCGTCAAGTGCACTACTCTCCTCTGTCCTCCAGTTTTGATGTGACCAATTGTGCTTCGTGCACTTTTATGTCCTGATAATATCACAATAAATCAGCGTCGTGGTGTGTTAAATGCGATTGTGAATGTGTTGTGGCTATGATCTCTCATTGTGAGCTTATCATTGATGCGTGTGCCGGTGTGTTTTGCAGTGATTGTGAATAGAATGAGTTATCACACAAAACGTAATGACAAAAGCTTGCAAAATGACCTTACGTCCTCTTCTTCTTTTACCCTTTATCAGTTTTTCCTGCCCTGTGTCTCCATGTATCATTACAGAGGGAGAGAGAGACAAAGAAAAAGAGTGAAAGAGTGAGAAAAGGGCTTTAGACCGAATACAAAAAGCTGAACAGAACTGCTTAAATTGTAGAAAGTATTTTCTCTTAGAAATTGCTAGTAAATTTGACAAAAAATTCAAAGAAACAGCAAGAAACATTGATTTAAAAGTCAAAATTTGAAGTAGAAAAACTGGAATAGTATTTTCTTGTAAAGTGTACTCCAAAAATCTGTTTTATTTTCAATTTCAAAAAATCAGAAAACTATGAAAAAAAATCTAGAAAACTATGGGTACATTTACACGACAACATACTAAAAATGAAAATGTTTTTTCTTTGCATTAATGCATACAGACGACAGCAGAGACGATAACGGTATAGTTTGCATTTTCAGGCCTCCAAACCGTCTTTGTCATGTAAATGAATGGCCAAAACACCTTAAATGTTTTCTGTTTAGTTCAAAACGGTGTTGTGTTAAAGGGGTCATATGATGTTGCTAAAAAGAACATTATTTTGTGTATTTGGTGTAATGAAATGTGTTTATGTGGTTTAAGGTTAAAAAATCACATTATTTTCCACATACTGTACATTATTGTTTCTCCTCTATGCCCCGCCTTTCTGAAACGCGTCGATTTTTACAAAGCTCATCGGTCTGAAAAGCGAGGTGTGCTTTGATTGGCCAGCTATCCAGTGCGTTATGATTGGCCGAATCCCTCAAGCGTGTGACAGAAATGTTACGCCCTTTACCATTTTATGCAAATCTTCCCACATCGTGACGTAGATATGTGGGTGCGTGTTAGATTGAGCCGTTTTAGGTAGGCGTGGCTGACTTTTATAAAGAATATTTCTTTGGATTTGAGACTTTAGTCTTTGCAACTTTACAGATCTTCTTTATGCACCAAGAGCTTGTAACACTCCAAAGAGAAAGGAAAAATTGAAATCGCATCATATGACCCCTTTAAAGCGATAAAGTATTAAAAAAAATAATAATTCCATCAGCTTTTGTGATTGTAACCTAAACTCTGGACCTTGATTTGATTACTAATGTTTGTTTTTCCACTACCCTCCTTTTCAGCAAGGGGAATGGTGCGAGCCAATCACGTTACGGCCTCCGAACGAGGCGACGTCATCTACGCCGGTGCAGTACTGGCAGCACCATCCTGAGAAGCTTATATTCCAGTCATGTGACTATGAAGCATATGTAAGTGTGGGTGTTAGAAGTGAACAATGATAAATGTTTCTCAGGTTTCCTTACAAAAACAACACCTAAAGGAACTGAAAAACACTTTAAATGTGAGTGTACGAAGAATTTAGATGCGGATTTGGCCTTGGCGAGCTCCTGTAAGCCATCAGATAGCAAAAGAGAAAAGCAAACGTGAAAGCTATCTGTGAGTCCTTTAGTTATTTAGTGGTGAATAAATGGTGTTTTAACCTTCAATCAATACAGCTTTTTTTCAGCTCTCTCTGGGCCCGAGCATCTCTAGTATTAGCTTACATAAACCCACTCTGTTTCCTAGCAACAGCCATGTAAATTTGATTGGCTTATTCACCTGTGCCAAAAACACTGATGGAGTTTATGAACAGAGTCCATTCGTGTAAGTGTGACTGACCCACAGAGGCCAAAGGTCAAGAGTGTATTCCCAGTGTAGAGCGGTGAAGGAATGGACAGATCTGTGGATCAATGCTTATCCCACTAGAAGTAAAATATGTTGCAAATTCAATTGATATTACACTTAAACGATGATGTTCCTGACTCTCATGGTGCTTTAAGTCAATAATGAGACACTTCCCTGACAAACATGAACACAAAAACTTACTCTTTTTAACTATTGATGTTATATTACTTGAAAATCTTTCGATCTGGCAAATAAAATGATAAAATAAATAAAATATAGTTAGAATAATAACAATATTAAAATGAAATAAAATATTACAAGAAAATGAAATGTAATAAAAATAAAATATTAAAATATAAAGTATTTCAATAAAATTAAAAATAAAGTATTAAAATGAAAAAAATATATAAATATATATATAAAAAAAAGTAATAAGAATGAAGAATCACAGATACATAGAAAGTGTGCGCTTAAATTAAACTACAGATGTGTGTGATTAATGGTCTAGAGTGGATTTGGAAATAATATGCATGTTATTTTGTGATTGAAAATGTGACCGTAGCATCGGCTTGTCTTGGCAATAAACATTTCAGGCTCATCTAGTCGTAAGATGAATGGGTTTTACACTCAGTGTGCTTTATAAAACACTGTCATGTAACCTGACTGTAGATGCCAGATTGCTTTCATGTGAAACACAGCCCGCTGGCTCTCAAGGTTGTCCTTGTCCGATACCCAGCAGTGCAGTGTAACACTTCACCAGATCATGGCACTAACTACGCTCTTTCCAAACAATCTCTTCCTAAGCGCTTCATTGTACATTTCCGTTTTGTTATTGATTTAGCTGACAGTTGTACTCACAGTGACGCACAATCTGTGCACACCTACTGCTGGGAAAGTAATACCTTAATCAGGATTTTGTTACTCTTTTAAAATAAAAGAGACATACCGTTACTTGATGCAACGCTCCAGTCCACCCAGATCATGTATTTAAAAAAAAAAAAAAAGTTAAATAGTAGTTTGAATACTGAGGTAGACTTGTCAGGACCATGAATACTTTAACATTTGACCGCCCACATTACCATTATAACTAGTTTCACATGCAGATAGGTTAGCCAATTATAAAAGAACTCATTTACATGTACAAGCTCGTGTTAAACTAAATAGTTAAAATTTTTATATGAATTATAAACTAGCTTTAGAGAAAACTCATAATTTATAAATAACAAAGATATAAATATCTATTTTTTTAAATGCATAATAAATATAATAAAAATATTATATATATAAATAATTCTACTTTTTATCTCTTTTTTTTAAATATCTTATACATATACTCTAACTATATGAATGTGTTTCTCATTTCTGATTGTGTGTGTTTGTTCTGCAGTATCTGGGCTCTATATTGGTGAAGGAGTTGCGTGGTACAGAGTCCACGCATGATGCCTGCGCAAAAATGAGGGTAAGAGTTGTCACCATGGCAACCTGTAAACAATCAGTCTAGTCATGCTCCTGCTGCCCTCAGGTCACTATGACACACAGTCATTGAGAAAACAGGAAATGTCTCTGTTCTTACAAGCCTACGTAAGAACACAGTGTATTATGGATGAACACACACACAAGGCAGTGTGAAGGGAAATAATATTATGGCCAATTATGACTCTTCTCATAATCGTATAAATAGCCTACTTCCCACAGCGTATGAATACATTGACTTCGCTTTACCTCAGAATACCTTCTCTTACCTCAACGGCCCCCGGCCCCCCGTTCTCATGAGATTATTTAACACGGCAGGACAGTTCACCCGCTCTCTTTTTGTATGCATGTAAAACACCATCTGTTCTCCATCTCTCTCCTTTCTGCTCCCCGCTGCACGTTTCGATGAGGCCGAGAGAGTTTGAGACCTGCCGCCCCTTGCTTCTTCACAAACACATTAATACATTCAGAGGGTGTAAATTTAGGTCCTCCGTCTCTCATTCTTTGTTTTAAGCAGAATATTTTGGCAGGTACAGAACAGTAGAGGGAAACCACTGACAGAGAGAGAGCGAGGGGGGAAATGAGGTCCAGATGAATATATATTCCACTCTGACAACTGATATGACAGCGTAGGAAGATATGAAAATGAATTCTGATTCTCTGCAGTTCATCATCATCCTCGGCCGCATGTGATTTATGCCCCTGCAGCCTGAGGTGGTCTTTCAACCTGGTCTGGTTTGCTGGTGTAAGAGAGGTTTTGAGCACTTGACAGCTTGTCTCCCGCTGACAGACCAACTAAACACCAGCTTGACCAGACTGGGAGACCAGCTAAACCAGCTAAAACCACCGTTTTCCAGCGTCTTTATATGCGGTATATTATGTCACCAACTTTCAAACCCAGTGAGGCCATAGTTTAAACAGTGCAGAATGTTATTTTGGCCCTTTTTGTTTGTCTCATGAGATGGCACACTATCTGGGTTATTGCAGGGGACTGAATGACATTACGTGTAAATAATTTAGTGTGTGTTTGAGTTTGTATTAAGCAGATCTCAGTCAGTGTGTGATGGGGCCTCATGAATGTTAATGTCAGAGACTGTAAGACTGTCTGCTGATCTCTCTTCTCTCATCCTCTCTGTAAGAAGTCTACAGAACAGATGAAGAAGATTCCCACCATAGTACTGTCTGTCTCCTATAAGGGCGTCAAGTTTATTGATGCCACTAACAAGGTACTCATCAATTTAATCCTAATTTATACATAGATTGTAATCGTAACTTTCATTGCCCTTGATAAGATAAAAATTAGGGCTGTCAGTCAATAAAAAAGCAGTTGAATTTCTTTAATGACATGCAATTTATTGTGATTAAGACAAAGGACATTACATTATTCTGACAAAGCATTGAATAGATATTACAAGTGCTATTATATGTCACATTATATTGACAGTCCATGTTATAAATGTAGAATAGAAAAATATTATTGATAAATAATAACCGATTTTTTGATTCCCTCTTATTTCTTTGTCTGATGTTTAGAACATTATAGCAGAGCATGAGATCAGGAATATCTCATGTGCCGCGCAGGACCCTGAAGATCTGTCCACATTTGCGTACATCACCAAGGACCTGAAATCCAGCCATCATTACTGCCACGTGTTTACAGCTTTTGATGTGGTTAGTAAAACATAAAAAATAAATTCACTTTTGAACTTCCCGATAAAGCATAAATAAAAATGAGACAAACATAAAAGCTCAGTTACAAATGCACAAATGCCTTTCATCATGCAAGTGTTGCAAAGCATGTCTGAGGAATACCATATTTCATAAATAAAAATGAAATTATTATTCAAATATTTGTGAAGATGTATTTGATTATTACGTTAAGATTAGTATCAATTTAATCAATAATAGCAAATTAATGTGACAGAAGGCCAAAATAGGCAAAACAACGAAAGTCGCCTATTTTTTATTTGTAATCTTAATTATTTAAATGTATGGTCTATATATGCGTGTAACAGGAGTTGAAGGGCAGTTTTTAAGCCTATTTCATAAATTAATGGTATTCTGAAGCACAGTATAAAAAACTTAAGAGATATTTGAAAAAGAACACTAACAATTTAAACAATATATTTTATTTGTGAACTATTTTTGAATTTTTCGGATCATCAGTCATAAAAGCTCGGTAAATATTGGTCACAAACAGAGATTCACTTTCAATTTCACCAAGCTGATTACTCACTAAAAACTCCCACAGATCATGTTTTCATGCCATTTTAAGTCTTATTTTGACGTAACAAAGTGGTTATATCTAAGTGTGCAAGTTGTTTACTTACTTTTTAAAATTACTCTTCCCATTAACAGCATTATGTTGTTCATTCAGACTGATTCGCGAACGTGGAACGTGCATCAACACAAGAGGCGGGATTTATCGCATGAACCAATCATAGCCGAACATAACCAGTCATATCCAGTCATATCGCGATGGTGGCATTACCTCCTCTCATGTGACTTTCCCCCATTCATTTTCAATTACCCCCCACCAAAACCACCGCATGCTTTAGGGGGTCTGTTAAAACTTAGTGGGCTCAGGGAGGCGAGAGGGAAGTGGATTCCCGCTGTAACTTTACCTGCTGGTGTCTCTGTTGGACAATGTTTCTTTAGAAAAATGAGTGATTTATACACGTTCAATGTTATATTTTGTAATATTGATGTTGTTTTATTTCTGTACTACAAATTTTTTTCTCATTTCATATTTTGAGGAGCCACTGCCTCCCTTGCCTCCTCAGAGGAAACACCCCCGATATATATATATATGTGTGTGTGTGTGTATGTATGCATGTCTAGTGTTTGAACTATTTTCTGTGATTAGATTACAAAAAGTGTAAGTGAAATCTCTTGGTAGGTCTGATATGTCACATTTTATAGCATCTGTGCAGTCATTTTAAGTATAAAATACACATTTTCTTAGCTTAAATGCTACAGTGGCGTTTTTTTTTTAAGAAATTGTTGCTTAAGTAAGCTTGATGTCTTCTGTGTTACCATCTGTCACAGTAACACCACAGAACTGTCTGTGCGTCAGCTAGTCACAACACATGAATAATTTATTATATGCTTCAAGCATGTTTTTAATCATTTAAAAATCACTAAGCTCTGAAATTATGGAAGGGAAATAGTAAAATGCTGCCAAATGTAGTAGCACTAAATTGAACTCAAATCTTCATTTTCTCAACTGATTTGTAGCAGCGTAGATCCCCCACAAGTGTAAATTGTAAGTTGATTTTTGAAAGTGGGTCTCTGATCATCTCTGTGTGCTTGTGTGTATTTTTACACAGAATCTGGCCTACGAGATTATCCTGACGTTGGGCCAGGCGTTTGAGGTGGCGTATCAGTTAGCCCTGCAGGCCAGAAAGAGCGGCCACGGGTCATCCACTCTGCCCGAGAGCTTCGACAGCAAACCCTCCAAACCTGTCCCTAAACCCCGTGTCAACATACGCAAATCTGTGAGTGACTTTGCCCTTTGAGCACTAACACACACACAAACACTGACTTAAGCCTCTAACCTCTAGCCTGTCTCACCTCATCCATCTGTACATATGTACACCTGCACAGCTGCCTGCACACCTTGAACCCACATCTGTGTGCTCCAGCTGAGTGATGCATCATGGGAAACAGTCTCTGGTTTGAGCTGCTACAATGTGTGTCCAGAATTAAATTTTGTGTGATATAGAAATCTTTTGTAACTTATGTAAACTTGTAAAATTGTCACTTTTTATCAATTTAATACATCCTTCCTGAGTAACAATAATTTCTTCAAAAACTTTAGTCTTACTATAAAAAAACTACATACACATTAAAAACAACTACTAAAACGTTAACTAAAATTACAATGAAACCTGAAAATATAAAAATGAAAACTAATTCAAAATATGAATAAAAACTAAAATAGTACCTCAATGATACTATAAAAAACACTGATATATTGTCAATATTCAATTTTTACCAACACCATGAACTTTAAATTGTTGTGTTGCACATGATAGTTCACATCTTAATCTTATCACGTTTGTTAATTTATTAATTGCTGTCATTTAAAGCTTTTTTTTTTCTTTTAGGCCTAACTATGTGTTGTTTTATTGTTTTATATTGTTATTTGATTCATATTTCCTGTTATCTAAAGGCCTCCAGTGAATGACATTAGAAAACTTTGGTATCCTATCTGGCCCATAAAATTAGTTTTATAATTAAAAACAGCACAGACGAACATGAACTTATAACCCATTGCTTGATTTCGACATTTGCACGATTATCTTTTTAGGGGCACGAGCCAATATTTAAAATCAATATTGAGAAATGTGTGTTGGGCAGTATTTAAAGAGATTTACTTCCCCTCAGCGAAAGTTTGTTTGTACGCGCACCAGCACGTCCCAGCCTGTCCTGAGGGACGGAGAGGTGAGTGTTTGATCTGTAAACGGCACACTCCATCTCCTCTCCCTTCAGTGCATTTAAGGATGAAAGAGATTGATGAAGGCCGTTTACACAGAGCTCCAGCAAGTTGCTTCCTCCAGGGCAGTCTTCCTCTCCATCTGCCCTCGTCCCAGTGCCCCTAGAGCGGGCACAGTGTCTCGCTTACCCCCTGCCACCAACAGGGATATTTCCACTTTCTGGAAGAGGCCCAGAATCATAAAAATAAAACACGCTGCCTGTTGGAGTTGTATTACGTGCAGGACAGAAACGATGGATGCCTGGTTGAAAATAAACAGTTGCATTATTGAGTCCAGCTTGCAGAAATGACCCTCCTTTTATGAGAAGCTTCACTGTCTGTTTTAAAGGCCACATAAAATGTGCGTCTATGTTATTAAAGTATGTCTGCTTACAAATACTGGGCCAGTGCGCCATTTCAAGTGAAACAGTGCGTGCAGAGAGAGATGTGGCTCAAATGGGCTTTGTAGGTTAAAATCCGGCTTGCGTTTTCCAATCCTGTTTTCTGTCTCTCTTGCGCCATGTAATCCTATTCGAATGAGTTTTAATGTACAAACTCAATTATGTTCCTACTGTGTTTTGGAGAAATCATGTCCCAGATAAGAATATCTGTGACTGCGGTATATATATATATATTTTTTTTTTTTCATAACACTTTTGTTATTTATTTTGGCTCTTCTGAATTCTGTAACTAAAGCTATACAATTTCTCACAGACTGGTGCACCTTCATTGGATTTTGTGCCTTTTTACAGTAATTTGTGTTATTGTTGTGATATTATAAATAATATCTAAAATTTTAGAAATGTAGAAAAAAGGATCACATCACAATCGAGCACTATCTTCCATAACTCCCACAGCCGGATTATACACACTGAGCTTAGTAACAACTACAAAGATCCCAATCCTATGTGAATCAGTACAGGAAATCACAGGCATCCTGTGTTCATAATTATAACTCAAAAGTCATTTGGAATACTAATCCCGTCTGAATAGTGCTTATGTGACAATTTATGTAAGAATGGATTTATGAATGATTTACACACATTTGTTCTGCTCGTTTTTCGTGAATAAGGTCCATTGTTGGTCTGAGAGTGTGTGTGTTGTTACTCTGAACACTAACAGCAACGTCTGTGGCTGTGTGTGGTGTACTCGGATATTGATTTTCCCTTGTGTAGAAGAAATTGTTCATTATGTTGAGGTACCTCTTCTCCATATGGACACGATACGCTGTGTTGCTCCATTAGAACGGATTCCTTCTATCTTTTCTTCATCCTGTTCTGCTCATTTCTATGCGTGTCCACTCCTGGGTTTGAATGAATTTGGGTGATTCTTCGATTAAGGACATTTTTACTATATTAGTGCTGTCAAAATTAACACGTTAACGCATACGGATTCCTTCTATCTTTTCTTCATCCTGTTCTGCTCATTTCTATGCGTGTCCACTCCTGGGTTTGAATGAATTTGGGTGATTCTTCAATTAAGGACATTTTTACCATATTAGTGCTGTCAAACTTAACACGTTAACGCATGCGATTCATTTTTTCAGTTTAACGCATTAAAAATATTTAACGCAATTAATGCAGGGGCGGAGCTAGGTTTGGCCACCCCACTCACAACTGCTGCTTCTCTCTTTTTTTTCTTGACAAGAATTGCATTTATTTAGATGCAGAATGTCTTTACAACCACATCAAATGAGAGACTTTTTTAGACGAGCACTCCAACTTTGCCTCAGTGCCAGGCGCTAGTCAAACGAGCACGGAAAAGGTTCAGGTGACGAGGGAGCTTCAGTAGAACAACAGTGAACTGCGGTCAGATGAGATGTTGTCAGGCCATATGTCAGTAAAACTAATTTTCTTGTCCTGTCAGCCATTATACTGTGCTCGTAGCAATAAAAAAATACTGTGCTCTTCAATTGCACGCACAAATGCAGCGGTGCGCGCTGTAGCCTATATAATATCATATTAAAGTGCAAAAGAAACTACGTGCATGCAGTGTCATAGTTATGTCGTCAGTTAAGTCTTGAAGTTACCAAAAAGGCGTTTAAAGCTGCCTTATAACTGTGCATGCAAGTATTTGTTAAATGAGTCACGTTTAAGAAATGCCTCTGAAATGCAGTGGTTTTCAAAACTGACCTGGAGCAACCCAACTCTTCTAACACACTCGTCAGCTCATTAGTAGAGACTTTAAGGCCTGAGGTGGGTCAGAATTGGTTAAGAGATGCGTGTCAGATCCGCAGCATGTTCAGTAGCGGCAGCTCTTAAAGCAGCCAAAATAACCTAATAACCCAGCTGCTGTGATGTCTGTTAATCAAAGAACAAAAGAAAAAAT